CACTGTACCCCATGACAGTATTAATATACACAGACATGGTTTAATAATAAAAAAAAAAGAATATACTTCTTGTGCTTTGAACTTCTTTCAAAAAAATTTAATGAATGATCTTTAAAAATGTTCCTGGCACACCTAAGATCTTCTCACAACAACCGTGGCACACAGGTTCAAAATCACTATCCTAGAGAAAAATTGGGTTGCAGTTCTCACCACTCCAAGTAAGGGTAGATATGTGTTGGCCACGGGAACTAATGGAGTAGTGGTGGTGTGTTTCCCAGCAGCCCTGGGTCCATCAGCAGCTGGAGGTGCCTCTTCAGGTCAGGAGAAGACAGTTTTACCTGGGGCTTTCAGAAGATGTAATACACGTAGCAACAGCACAAACCACTTTGTAATACACGTCTCTTATTATCTCAGGAGACAGCCACAGAGCTCCTCCTTTTAACAGGCTCATTGAGGATAGACACAGCACCTAGAGACTGGCCAGGGTTTCACAGAAGGACCTACATAAAAACAGTGCACAGTTCTTGGTCTTATAATCAAGTTGCGTCATCCTGCTCATAACCTAAGCCTGTTGGCTTTAGCTTCTTTCAGGAACAGTCTAATGATCAAAGGGATAGACTCATTAAAAAGCGACATTAGCTGTGGAGGGCAGGGTGCCAGGTCTCAAAACAAAAAGTTCCAGAGTCAGAATAAGGATGGACGCTTACCAAAGTTTTAAAGAATGAATTGCTTTACTTTCATTAATGTTTCCCATTGGTTTGAAGAATTATTGGTAGAATTTTTTAAGATCCTAGGAAGAAAGTAGAGATGGGGAAATTATACAACTGTGAATTCCCAGAGTGTCTAAAATAAAACAAACTAATTAAATTCTTTGTCCAAATGAGTATCTCTCCCCCAAGCAATTCCAACAGAGCAATCCCAACAAAATTCTAAATGTAGATTTCTAAAGTGAGTTATTTCTTTTTACTTTTCATATAAGTATCTAAAGTCTGGTAATACTTTCAATTTTTATGCTTATTATTCCAACTAGAATATGGAAAGCTATACTAACTATGTAAAATTTGAAGATACTTCGGTTTTCAGAGTCTGAAATGTAACTGAATTTGTGAATGTCTGGCGTGAATTGGTTGTGGCCACATTTAGTTCTAGTTTCATCCATAACATCTTATCTTTTTGAACTGTTTTTTAATTCTTTCTTGTGTCGTGCCATCATTTAAATTCATCAAATTAGCGGCAATCCAGGAAGGAAGAACTTGCCCTTGAATGTTTGTACATATAGAATTCTACTAATAAATATTACCAAGTACATCATTATACTTTTCTATAAAAGAGTTCATCGTGCCATTTAGAAATACTATACTGCACAGCCAACATAGTCAGTTGGAATCACTGAAGCTAAGGTTGTTTATGAAAAAATACACAATTATAATACATGAAGTAACAATACAGATCCCTCCTGGGTACCAAGTAGGTGGGGAAATATAGGGTGGAAAGGGAAGAGAGGTATTATTCTTTTAGTTGTGTTTTTCTACATAGATTAATAACAACTTTTCTGTTCAGTATGTATGCTATAATTATGCTAGGAAATTACGGGGTTGGCAAATACCGCCAACAGTCCCATTTTTAAAGTTATGATAGGAGGCTGAGCAAGTCTTGCTAGTCACACTCTGTGATGAAGGAATGAATTGTAAATCTGGGGATCTCAGCACTAAGAATCCAATTCATCCCATCGTAACTTCATTTCATTTAAGGGTTTCAGAAGGTGAATGTCATTTTTCCCACTAACTTTGAATTTTCTATGACAATTCATAAACAAAGACAATTCAGTGGGGAAAAATTCTAAGTCATTTCATTTTGTTTAATACCATGATATATAGATGCTAAAACTCTTCATTGTATGGGAATTGTTAGATCTTTGACTGCAGCCTCAGGCAATGATAAGTGGGAGATCATCAGAAGTGGTATTCTCTCTCTCTCTCTCTCTTTTTTTTTCTTGAGACAAGAGTCTCATTTCGTTGCCTAAGCTAGAGTGCCTTGGTGTCAGCCTAGCTCACGGCAATCTCAAACTCTTGGCTTCAAGTGATCCTCTTGCCTCAGTTTCCCAAGTAGCTGGGACAACAGGTACCTAATCTTTCTGTTTTTAGTAGTGACACTGTCTTCCTCTTGTTCC